TATAGATAGATACACCACTGAATGCACACAGAGAAAGTGTTTTATTCTTTTTTCTCTCGTCAAGCGAGAAAATTCAAGCCAATGAACGAGTTTCTTTTGCTTTTTCTTTTTTAACACAGAGCAATAGAGAATTCACAGGAGTGTACACTTGCTTTTTTCTTTGAACGAAAACAAAAAAAGAAAGAATAAAGAAACGAAAAACAGAAGAAAGAGAGACAAAAATGGGACACGACTCGCGCACGAAGAAGTGAAAGCAGAGGAACACGCGGGAGAAACTATTTTTATTCACGCTAGTATCTTCTTTGCGCCGTTATCTGTACTTTATCGTTCTTCTTTTTGTTCTTGCTGTTTCCGGATTTTCGAGTTCGTTTTTCTCCTTCATTTTCCTTCTTCCTCTTTTCTTTTTTTTTCTCACGTATTCTGCGACATTGTTTTCTTTTCTTTTTTTTTGGTATTTTGTCGTTGGGGGTGGTAAAAAATAAAACTGGCAAAATAAAGTGTGAAATAATGTTTAATAACTTGGGTCTGGGTAATCATACACATCTCTTTATTATTACTTTTTTTGGTTTTTCTTCGAGATTTGCAGTCTCGTGGTTCGACAAAACAATCCCAAATTCGATAATTGTGTTAAAAGATTCGGTTTCAAAAGAAACTATGCTAATTGAAGTAACAATACTGTTCACGCTGAGCTAATTTAACGTAGTGTTGTAGTGGCATAGTCTATTTAGAAACAACAATCTGCGTTTCAGCAATTCGAAAAAATATTTCAAGATCACTGTTCAACGATATCGAGTTAAAAAAAAATTATTTCGCTAAAACTTGGACTGTCAAATTGAGCAAACACGTGTCTCTGCAATTCCACATCCTAAGACGTGGCAATTTCAGGCCTACATTTCGTCCCGTTACAGAGGAGTCTTCTAAATAACTATACTTACGAATAATGTAAGGGTAATTCTATGAAATTCCTTTTCAACAAATTCCACGAAAAGCGTAACAGGATAAGATCGTGGAAATACCAAAGGCAGAACTAATTAATTAGCAATTCCACGTTCCGACGTGAATTCCAAGGATTTTTCCATGTCGTTACAAGAAGAAATATTTCAACATAAATAATAAAAAAAAAAAAAGAAAACAGAAAAACAGGGATAGGTAATACCTTCGTTTACACTTAAATCAGATCTGTGAGCTCACTTCCTTAGTACACCAACAATTCCAATTACACCTTTATTTACATATGTTAGAAGAAAAGAAAGGTAAACATAAAAGTCAACGAATCTTCTTTCTCGTTTTCACTGCAATTTTTTCGAGCAATTTCACTATTGAATTCTTCGGCAATTCCAAGGACACACGAAAACGATACTCGAACGAACTCGAAGCGATCGATCGATACTTCCACTCCCTTTACATGAACCACGTAGTTGTCGTTGAACATCGCACGACTTGACCCGCAATTCCATCGTTTACGAATCTTTGTTTCAACTCAAAAACACGGGGAAGAAGAAAACTGCACTCGATAATATTGATTATCACTAGCAATTCCACCCCCGTACCCCCCAAACCCCGGCAATTCCACGTTTTCCACCGGTCACGAGCGTTCGTTCGTTTTAAAAACCGTTTCACGATTGAAAAACAGGGCGGCACGGACCACGAGTCGTTCGATCCTCGTTTCTCGAGTCGTAGACATCTCGTCGAACGCGTCGTGACGCGCGTCCACTTGACAGGTCATCGTTTTCTATTGGCGCCGCGATGAGGAGGCTCCGGCGTCTTTGCCGACGAGGTCGAGGGTGTCCCCTGGGCCATCAACACCAATGGTTGTCCGAACGGCCTCGTTCCAGACATTGATCCACCGCTGCCGCGTCCTGGTCAATGGAATTGCAACAGTTCCACGATAATATTCTGTCGTTTTCCCTCGATCGATTCACTGAAAACGCGACTCTTTCTCTCTCAACGCAAGCTGACAAACCTGATTCGTTCATTACTCGCCGCAATTCCACGGAATTTCACTATGAAACGCCACCGGCGCCCACTAGAAACGCTTCTTCTGCGTACCTGCGGTTATTAACCATCTCTTTCTCCCTTCGACGTTGTTCCTTCCCGTCAAGATCGATTGGAGTTGCACGTTTACGCTCCGCGATGAATGTTTTGTTAGTCTTTTTGCACTGATTTCGATTAGTTCCGCCGCTGTTACGTCGCAATTTCAGCGACCGGGAGTTCCTGAATGAATTTGGGACCGTTGATGCTATATATTAGTTCTTGTTTCCCGTGGAATTGTCTTAGATTTTCAACTGTTTTTTGTTTTTGTTTTCGTTATACGACCGCGTTTCGGTCGATATTTGAAAAAGGTTAGAGTGACACCGTGGGATTTCTCTCGCGGGGAAAGCGGGGAAACATTTTTCTCCAACATCTTCGTTTCAAACATCTTCGAACTCTTTCCAACACATTGCACAACGATAAAATAACAAAAATACCAATGAAAAGAATTTCCATTTACATTTACAAGCATCGGTACTTCAGCGTAGGTTTTCGACAGGTTTTGCGAAAGAAAGAAGAGAAAAAAGATATACGAAAATTCAAACGACAGTGGAGAGATGACCCGACACTGGCAATTCGATCAGCTCCGAACAGTAGTGATACAGCGACAGAGGGAGAGACTAGAGTAACGATGGCGCGCGGGCAAAGAGGAAGAATGAAGATGAAGCAGGAGAAGAAGACAGAGAGACTTGGGGGCATAAATAAAAAGAGAGACAGATGGAGAAGTTACGAGTCATGTCCCTGAAGAAGACGAGCATTCGTCTGTCGATATAAAAGTATAAAAGAAATAGAACAGGGTTACGTGCCACCTTGAAGCAGAGATCGTTCAATCGAGTCTCTTCAGGGTGCATTCTTAAGTATTGTAAACTTATAATCTTACAGGTATCGTCGTACTTTCCATTTTGTTCCTTCGGCAATTCCAATATCGATACCATAGAGGCTACCAGAATTTAGAATACTCTTCAAGAATAAACCGACGAGGAATTTCATAAAAGAATTTCTCAAAAAATTCTTTCCTACCGTTCGCGTTCATCTTTCACAGTCTACGAAACGTGTATTCAATGTTAATTTAGGATTCACATTCGTCGTGTCGTTTCGAATATTCCGAACAATTTCGTTCGTCGGCAATTTTTCTCATCGACAATTCCCGGCACAACCTGAACAGCGCTCTTTTATAATCGAGAGAAGCAACAGGAATTGCGTTACTTTCGAATCGACCAAATAGACGTGCAACTCTGCTTCAAGGTAAAGAGGATTCGGTGTGCTGTGCCTTACCAGAGGTGGACGAGGGACAGGGGTGGGAGGAGGCCCTCGCTGACGAAGGTGCTGGAGGATGATCTGCTGTGGGAGGCGTAGGTGGTGAGTTTGTCGAGTTTCCACGGATCTCGCCTGCCTGCTTCAGCACCTGGTATATGGCGTCCACGTCTGCCCACACGGTATAGAGAGACAGCAATGCAAAAGCACACGAAAGACACATCACACGAGGTGCTTTCCCCTTTTTTTTTTTCTTTTCTTTTCTTTATTTCTCTTGCTGGGTTCCTCGCGGCAATTCCATGGCTAACGAGTGTCCTTGTTAACCTGTTAACTGGGGAAGACGAGTTAAGCTCGTCGTTGGTTCGCAGTTACATAGAGCACAACAGTTTATTCATTCAAGGATTAGATTCCCTTATAGTAAAGTACTTCATATTCGTAGTTGCAAGAACCGAAATGAAGTAACTGGTTGTAATTGTTACTCGTTACTGTAATTGTTACAGATTCAATTTTTCGTCTACGACGTGAATCCAGTTAACAGGTTAACACGCTGGCGAATTTGAGGGCCAATGTGTGTCCCTTACACGGATCAATTATAGCAGGCTGTTTCGGCTCATTCGAGACCCATAAACGCATATTTCATTAGAACCCTCAGTTTCAATGTTTTGCTACGATCAACGAAACAAAACCGTGAGAAATAAGCGATCTTTGAGAATTTTTTTTGGCTAAACTATTAAACATATCGTAATACTTCTGGTTTCGACGGAAAGGAGTATCCTTCGTAACGTTTAATATTGTTATTGTATATTTTGTACTTTAACTTAACGCTGTCAGCAACGTACGTCTGGTTGGCTTACAGTCCAGCATCTGTTCAAGCGATTTCAAACCACCAAATTTCAAACATTATTCTTTTCTGATAGTTTACACTGGGATTGAACCGACTTGTAACAAAAAAAAAAGGAAATTTTGAAAGTGTTATACCGTTTCGTCGAAAAAGTCTAGTTTTCTACCAAAGAGATTGGTTTTATATTGTTTTTCAAAACTCTATAAATAAAGAAGAAACATTGGTCGTCGGTCGGATCCCTTGAGAAATGTGCACGGAATTGAATGAACTTTATCCGAGGCTGATCGTTCGATTATATTTTGAGTTATCCTGCGCGTTAACATGAAAAATATGGTTTCGAGAAAATCGCGTTTAAAGTTTAAAGCCTTGACGCATCTTCGCAAGTGTGCGTGTAATCTTGTTACTTCTACGAATTCGTTCTTAATATCGTTGGGCCAAATTTGTCAGACGCACTTTCAATTTATGCGAGAAAGAGAAAATCAATTTTTGAAGACTTTCAAACTGGATCCCCCCTTAAGAGCTTTCGGTGTTATTCTAAACACGTTTCTATTAGACAGACTGTACTATTCTACTCGTCGAAGTGAAAACGAACGATACATCTGACGGACGATCGAGACGAATTTTAAAGACACTCGTTGTCCATGGACACTGCAGTTTTAGCCCCCAGCTGAGTCCGGTAATTGCACGCTAATGGGGTCTTAGAGTCTCTCGTTCAGGCTCACCGTAGCTCCATAAATAAATATAAACAATGTCGAATAGAAAAAAGCTCATCTCACCTAATCTGGAATTATTTTTAACACGTTCCGTGCCACGTGTACCAATGAAACTTTCGTTAAATGAAAAAAAAAAAGGAAAAATGGCTCGTAGATTCAATTCTCGTGGAAAATATGTGTAAAGGAAGATCGGACTGTCAAGAATTCCATAATTTTCTTACGCACAAATTATGATTATCTTCGTGGTATAATTATTGAGAAATTTGGCAATATTTTGATGCGACTTGTTCGTCTCTTTTCCGTATTCTGATAAGACGGAACGCGTTAACAGCAACCCAGACTAAGAAGAAATACGCCAGACGGTCTGAAGACACTTTCTCAGTCTCATTTAGCAGAAATTTGTTGATTAAAAAATTCTTATCCCAGGGAGAGACGTGGTTCTGTCGTTGAAACAGGTCCAACAGATACTCGAGAGGTCGGAATGACTCTGAACGAGGGACAGCCACACGATAGTACCATAGAATAATATATTTCCCTTGTCTGCAGCTTGTTCAAGTCACCGAGGGACACGAGGGAGAAAGCTGAAGGGCGGATGATCCGATTAATTTGGTTAATCGCGACGAATCGAGACGTATAATCGATGATTGTGATCGTGAGAGGTCGATCGAGGTGAGAAAATGAGGAGCAGAGCTTCGTGCAGCCTTGTTCTTCCGTTTACTTACCGGAGAACCGATCGATGCTCCTTTCAAGTTCCTTTTTCTATTTCAATAATCCACCACTGAAGAAATCACTTCTAACTTGGATTACACCTTTTCCTTTACGACAACGAGTCGGACTCGTTGCACATATTGTGGTCAAGGTGCGACAAGGACGGTTGTATTAGTAAGAAAAATTCGTTCTAATTCTAACTGTATCTAGTTTGAATTTATAAGATTGAAGATGTAAATAACGTACGGTACAGTAACTTTTCTTGTCTGATATAATATTGAAACGATAAACAGCCGACGCTTATATGCACAGGCAGTAAAAAAATACCGTAAGTCAAGGGGTTAATCTTGGAGATTGAAATTTCAGGTACAGTAAATTCTCTACAAGAGTCAGTAAGTTTGGATTCTACAAGTGACAGTATAGATGGTCCTACGCCAAGGTCTGCGCCATTGCTGCGCCCATGTTATCTCGCTCGCAGTCAGTCAAGCGTGTAACGCTACATCAGACGCTTTCCTTTTTTTCATCTGGAATTTTTTTTAACATGTTGATGAGATTTTTCTGAAGAAAATGATATCAAACACGATATAATTTGAACAACATTTACTTATTAACACGTTCACTGTCGCGCCAGATTTACAGGTTGCTGTCAGGCGGCCACAAGAAAATACATTTTAAGCATAGGATTATAGTATTAAGCTTTATAATTCTTTTTTTCAATTGAAAATAATATCTAGCTAGCTACGAAGTTCAAAACTTTTAGTCGACAACATTTATTTTATTTTAATTATTCTAAACATTTGAGGCACTCCAGTCACCGATGACCACCACGGCTATATCGAGGAAACAATCTAATGTTAATACTTATTGAGTGATTAATTTAATTTCATAATATATCGCTTTAGCGAGCCACCGTTTGGTTGCCAATTGTTTATCACATAGAGTCGGCCTACCTCCACGTAAAAACAAAAAATGTAGGGTCGATTCCACAAGGGTCAGTAAAATGTAGGGTCGATAGCAGCAGAAAAGCTGCTAAACAATTAGAATTAAATGTAACGATAGAAATTATTGCAGTAATGCGTAATGCAATTGAAAAATTGAGAGAATCAAAAGAAAAAACACGAATTCGTATCTCTCTCGATTCTAGAATATAAGAAAATTTGAATAAAATACGCGACGAGAATTGGGGAGAAGCATAAGTTAAACGCGTAAAAATATTCAATAATAAACGAACTAGGGATGAAGCTATTATTTCAATACGCGATGCACTGACTCTAGTATTTACTAAAATTCAAAAATTCTCGTATAAATTCCGAAAATAGATTATTAATTACGGTAAACTACTGAGACGGTTTAATTTAGGGTGGGCATAGTGCACTCGTTCCAAATCAGCTCACAATATACAATAATAAATCAACTAACTACTTAACATGCAATTCATGCAAATTCGTTGGATGGTAAATTATTAGTAAACAAAATAGCAAGTCATAAAATAAATTCAATATCAGAGAAAATATATGAAAAATTTAAAATTAATTTCAATTGCTCAAAGTCATTTCAATATCCTATTCGACAAGTCTGAAGAACAACGATGACTAAAATTCAAATGTTTATTTCCCTAAACCTTCAAAATAATTTCGAAATATTTTATTCGAAGCGGAGTATTCCAAGTCAGTATCGATAATTGAAGAAATTATTTGATTGTATTTAAAAGAACCGAAAGGAGAATATTTAAAGTCTGATATTAAATGTCTAGCAAGTACCAGTAATTGGTAAAATGATTTATATTTGTTTTAAAAGGAAAATTTCTAATAGGTATTAGTTAAAATGAATTGTTATTCAGTCTATTGTATTGAAATTCTAATTGATTCTAATGTATACAAGTGTTACAAGAAGGCTGAGTGTGTACAGGGTGGACATAGGCTAGCTAGTAGCCCCCGACCACTCTATGAACTTTAACGTCTATACTCGAAAGTGTATCGTCAACACTAACACGTTACCCAGATTATCCAAAAATTGAAGAAGTTACTTTTAAAATTGAACATTCTACGGTGTTTCGAGAGATTTGATAATCATAGTCGAACCTTAAACGAACGTTCAAACGAAGAAAATTTTCCAAAAATCATTTCGTACGTTATTAATCGATAAAACAAAAATTCATTGTTGAAAAATAAATATTTCCTGAAAATCTTCATCTTCCATACAAGATTCAAGATTTTCCCTAATTAAGAGTAATTTCAAAAGATTATCTGTATAAGCTATTATTTCAATACGCGATGCACTGACTCTAGTATTTACTAAAATTCAAAAATTCTCGTATAAATTCCGAAAATAGATTATTAATTACGGTAAACTACTGAGACGGTTTAATTAAGGGTGGGCATGGTGCTGCTTTAGTTTGAAATGATTTATAAACACATAATTAACAGAGGAAAAACCGTGAAACGGCAAAACGTCTACATTCTAATTGTTATAACATGTAAACAGAACTTTAAATTTAGTGTAAACAGAAAAAATATATAATACAATTTATTTCACGGTATTGCAACAAATAAACGTTGAATCAATATTTAATTCGTATAAAAACAATTATTTAACGTAATAATTTTACCTTCACTATGGCTATTTTTAATCTACGACCACAGGTCAACCTGATTTCTAATCCTTACGAACTTTAAATTCAGTCTAAACTGAGAAAATATATAATACAATTTATTTCACGGTATTGCAACAAACAAACGTTGAATAGATTCTTAATTCGTATAGAAACATTTATTTAAAATAATAATTTCACCTTCACTATGGCTATTTTAAATTTACGACCAAGGGTCAACCTGATTTTTAATCCTCCGAACTTGATTTCACAACGAGAAAGTAATAAGATCGTTGAAACGTACTTATTTGTCAAAGAAACTTGCAAAAATGTATAAATAATAATATGTAATGTTTTAACAAATTTTTGGAAGTATAAATTAATAATAAAATTGTGAAAATTAATAAATTATACGTTATTATAACATTAATAGAATTATGACTAAACCGAAGTTCGAAGTCGAGTATTTAAAGTCTGATATTACGTGCCTAGCGAGTGCCGGTAATTGTTAAAATTTGTTTAATAATTAGTAATAGAAATTCTAATTGATTCTAATGTATACAAGTGTTACAAGAAGGCTGAGTGTGTACAGGGTGGACATAGACTAGCTAGTAGCCCCCGACCACTCTATTCACATCTCAGAACCTTCAGGTCAAAATACGCCGCGAAGTGTCTAGGGCCCAGTATAAAGGGTAAATGATTTCGCGGGACATCGGCGGGTCCTTATATACCTGCGGTACCCTCTCCCCAAAGTCATTAGCAAAATCGTCGGTTAGGTCAGGCGGGAAATTTTCGCGGGAGATTTTCGCGGGAGATTTCCGATATCGTAACACGGTATAATTTATCAATTTTCACAATTTTATAACTTTAAGTAGTTCGTAAGATAAAGTTAGTTAATTCTAAGATAGAAAATTGAACACTATGTGCGCGTTTCTTAATAAAATACCTTGAAAAATTATTCAGATACTATGTTAGATATGAGAGTTCCATTTAACATCAAATTTTAACATCGATCTGTCAATAGCAAATTAGCAATCAATTGCCTACGAAACACAAAGAAGAATTTCTTCAATTTTCTGGCATAAAATTTCACAAGAAGTAGCAGTAAAGGAAGATTAAATAAGAAATGCAATTCTGTGACAAATTTTTCCCAAACAGTGTTTTTAATGTGTTACACAATAAAAAGTTACATTACGTGGTAAGATACTGTATCTCATCTTATATATTTTACTTTTCAAACATTTGTATCAGACTTTTCTGCGATTTTTCAATTGCATTACGCATTATTGCAATAATTTCTATCGTTACATTTAATTCTAATTGTTTAGCAGCTTTTCTGCTGCTATCGACCCTACATTTTACTGACACTTGTGGAATCGAACCTACATTTTTTTCTTGATGTGGAGGTAGGCCGACTCTATGTGCTAAACAATTGGCAACCAAACGGTGGCTCGCTAAAGCGATATATTATGAAATTAAATTAATCACTCAATAAGTTTTAACGTTAGATTGTTTCCTCGATATGGCCATGGTGGTCATCAGTGACTGGAATACCTCAAATGTTTAGAATAATTAAAATAAAGTAAATGTTGTCAACTAAAAGTTTTGAACTTCGTAGCTAACTAGACATTATTTTCAATTGAAAAAAAGAATTATAAAGCTTAATACTATAATCCTATGCTTAAAATGTATTTTCTTGTGGCCGCCTGACAGCAACCTGTAAATCTGGCGTGACAGTGAACGTGTTAATAAGTAAATGTTGTTCAAATTATGTCATGTTTTATGTCATTTTCATCAGAAAAATCTCATCAATATGTTAAGAAATATTTCGGGATACAAGAACGTAAAATTAAAAAAGTTGATATTTAAATCGCTTGGTTGCCTCGACACACGTTTCATGCTTATCTTTTATTCGCTGTCCTTGTCTACGTACAAAGGCGGTCGCGAGGCTCGAAAACGTAGTCCCTGACTGTAGGAGTGTCAGGTTTAGCTTCCTTGCGGTCTGACACTTGTGGAGAATATACTGTATTTCGAGCAACGATTCTTGGAGATCTCTGAGTTTGAATTCAGGAATTTCAGCAACGATTCGTCAATTGTATCATCGTAAGTAGACTGCGGACATTTATGCAATAGCGATACATCAATATACAGTGGAGCCCCGGATTTACGTACTAATTGGTTCCAGAGTGGGCGACGTAAATCGAAAAAAACGTAAGTCGGGGTACGTAGGATAGACACGTACATATGTATGTATGCAAACATATATACACATGTATTTATCAGATCAGGGGTTAGATTTTCTTTGAAATTTATAGAAATGATAAATGGGATCATGTTTAAAGTTTCGAATTCTTTGCTCAAGTAACTTCCAGACTGATTCAGTAAGAACTAAACAGGTGGAGCGTGAAATATCGGTTAAAAACAATGGACTATCGAATTGTGTAGAAACGACGTAAATCGGGAGGACGTAACTCGGGGCCCCACTGTATCCGGAATCTTTTGAACTACGTAAGTACACAAGGGTGTCCAAGTAATCGTGGTGCAATCGGGAAAAGTGTGATTCTTCGTGAAAAAATACGTCGAAATTGTAAACTAAAATTTTTGCATACAAGTTTCATCTTTAAAAACGAAGGAACTGGAGTGATTAGAATTGGCTAGTGAGGTAAATTGGCGTTTGCTTTCCTGGAGCATCGATCATTCTCGACGTAGAAAGAAAGAGAGATAGACAGAGAGATAAATAGATAGATAGATAGATAAATAGAGAGAGAGAATGGAGAGAGAACAGAGAGAGAAGAGAGAAAGAGAGAGAAAGGGAGACAAAGGAGTCTAGAAGACCCTTTTCCTTTCTTTTTTCCTCGTGAAAAATTTCCCTTCGAAACTGGTTCGTACTCACTGTGCTCTGTGGCTGGAGTCTCGTCCACTTGGGTTTGGGTCTTCTGTCGACGTAATAAAGGAATTCCGCCGCCTTTCTTTGGGCACATGGCTGGTTGGACCATGTTGATGCAGTCTGTGTGAGCGTTCGCCTTACAGCTGCGACATCTGACACCTTGGCGGCTGTGACCACGTAGAACCTGGCCACAGGCGTCACATGGGGTGATCTTACGGTAGGTGTGCTCGCGCCAGCAGTGGCCCCCTTCTGACTCTAGGCTTTTTCTTGGAGAAAACAGAATTTTTCGTTGATTTCTAGTAGTTTGTCGAGATTTCGTATCAGAGGGGTCAATGATGTATTTTGGATAAGTGTAATTTTGGTCTCATTTTTAACCCTTTGGACTCCTCCTTTGTCGAGTGTGACTCGACGTCAGTTTTATTCACAGGTACGAATGAAGTAATTTTTAAATTGCCAGTTTAAATATATATGGTATTTTGCAATATTTCTTTTATCTGCATGAGCAATAGGTATACGCATATGAAAAAAAATTGTTTAAATTGTCTTTTGAAGTGCATTTCAAATACAATTCTTAAAATAATAGGGAGCTATTGAAAAGAAACTTAAAACAAAAATTTGGAGTTCAAAGGGTTAATTGAAGCGTTGGCAGAAGTGTTTCTACGGTGTTTCTGAGTATTTCAGATTAGAGGGTTTGATAGTGTGTCCAACGAAAGGTGTATCTTGGTCTCGGTGAAACTAAGAGGTTGTTACGAATCGCAATATCCTTGTTGCGAAACCGATAATTGTCCCTCTGTTTGAGTCAGACCATTTAAGGAATCTACTCGGGATAGGGGACTCAGGTAGTGCACGGAAAATTGATTATTAACGCACAACAATTTGCTATTATGACTGTGTGTTTAGAAATGAACGTGAACAGAGCGCGAATGTCTAAGTTCACTGGTCGTAAAATTGTGCGTGGTGTCATGTTGTGTTCGCTATTTTATAAACTACGTGTGTGTTGTGATTGGTGGTGTGAAGCTGTCGTAGGTGGTGGAAGTGTGTGGCGATTGGTTTTTCGGTGTGTTTGGGGTGTATCTGGTGGTGGTGTGAAAGTGTGGAATTTGTTCTTACATTTGTTATATTGCTTGTCTGAAATTGGTGATGTCGAAAGTTTGTTTTATTATTTAAGGGCAGAGTCATCGAATTTTTGGTGTAATAAAGTAATTTGCCCATGCCGGCTAAGACCTCGTTTTTTAGAAGGTGTTGTCTATTGAAAATACCGATGTTATTGTTCGGCTCGTCGGTACGGCCGAATAACCCAAACGACGACTGTTACGCATGTGACAAGGTGTACTGTCTGACAAACCTACAGTGAAGCCACTGACGTCACAGCCTAGCAAAATGGAGGCAAAATAGGCGGTTCAGGTCATCCCCACTACTCTTGGGTCTTACACTGCCGGCGCTTGAGGGGAAGTTGCGTTGTAAGTAAATGGTTTAGACAAACGAATTTAAGTCAGCTGTCGATAATGTAACACGCTGATAAAAGAACGGAAAATTAAAAATTATTTGGTCGCCTTGTCCTCTTACCTACGTTGGCGCGTAAGACATTTAATAGCGCAGACGTTCATTTCTAAGCGACTCATACACAAATTGTTATTGTAAAGGAAGCCTCAGGAAATGTATTAACATTTTTTAACAGTTAGAATAGTAAAATGTAAATATCTTTTTCCTATTCCTGAATAATAAAAGTAGATTTCGGCGCATTAAAAAATTGCTTAAGGAGCTAAAACATTGCTGGCTGCAATGAAAAATAGCGTGCCACCACAGACCGACAGCAAATAAAAGCCATCAAGCAGCTACTATTTAATATTAAAATTTTGAAAAATTTGACAAAATCAGACAACATGTCGTCATTTTAATCGTAATATTTCGGCTTTGTTTAAAGATAATATTTCGACCTTGGGCTCATTTCATAGCAATAAACATAGCAATAATCGCTGCTAAAGTTTCAATTGCTAATTTGACACTGTTCCCACTCGTAGAATAATTTTGAAAAAATACCATTGGATTGCTTGAATTTTAACCTGTAAAATAAGCTTATCGAAATAATAGAGAAATTTTGGGAACATGGGATAAAAAAATAAAGTTTACCATGATGCACGTCGTTTGGCGTCGCGCAGGCATCTGTTCGCCTGTTTATGATGTCTGCGCGACTTAAACTTAATTTTTTTTCGAGCGCTTGAAAATATCAATTATCGACTGCTCGAACGAGACCCGATCGTCATCTATTGTTCATAGAAGAGTAAGTGCGATAGCCTTCTCCTATCTCTATTGGCCGACTATAAGGGAAGACCTAAGAGTAGCTGCGATAGCCTTATTCTATTCCTATTGGCTTACTAACAGCGAGCCGTCGCAAGTTCCCCTACATCTCCCACTTTTAGGCCCTGTGTGACGTCAGAGTCTTCACTTTAGGTTTGTCGAACAGTACGTTTGAATTGTGGTTTTGTCAAATGTGCTTTTTTAACCCTTTCGTTACTATTGGCGCCTGTAGGAGTTTTGAAAATTTGCTCGCACTATACCGTTGGACCTTTTTGGTGCACTTCCGCCATAATTTAATACTTAACCCTTTGCACTCGAAGGCCCCTTTTTCTGTAAGGAAGTAGCAAAAATTAATATTTTTATTAGAAGTTGGTCCTTTCGAACTATTTCACTGCTGAGATCTCTAAACATGTAGTGAAGAATTCACGGAGGTTCATAGACCTGCTCTCTTGGAAAATATCCTTAGAGTTGCCTCTAATGGTCAATATAATGTCGCTTCTTAGTCGCCTCTCGAGTGCAAATCTCGGTTAATTTTATCCTTCACGCACTTCCACCACGCTTGATAAACCGAATTTTAAAATACGGCCAAAATAATAAATTTTGCAGCCGTGGTTAACCCTACTGCGTTCTTCGTTTTGACTGTACACTTAAGACTTTTGGGTCAAAAAGGACCTAAGACCTTATGTGTAATAATTTTTGTTTCCAACGCGACATATGAACCTAGACAATAAACGTTTAAAATAATGTTAAGGAACGTAAACTTGATAACAACAAAAATGACTAAAAATATAAAAAGGCGGCGGGTCAAAAAAGACCCGAAAACCGCTCTAGGTTTAAGAACTTTTCGTCAGTCACCCACGTTGTGCATTAAAATCTGCCGTAGCGAAAGGGTTAAAGATTTTAGGGTAGAGTGTTTGATGTACTTTGCAGAAGGTGGTTTGAGACCACTAGTGACCTGGAAAATGGGTTCTCTGGGCACAGTGTTGAAGATAGTCTTCGAAAAAGTACCTTTAGAAAAATCACTTTCCAGATACTGTTATTAAAGCGGTACTTTAGTAATTATCAGTGGCACAACCTCACCTAGATATGTCGACGACCGTGGATACAGCATGGTACATCGTTTGTTTCCCTCTGTGTTAGTCGAGCATTCACAAAACAACAATTCTGGTTATTCTCAAAAGCAACACTCTAACAAACACACAAGGAAAGAACAAAACAATTATAAATAAAATTAACAACAGAACGTGAAAAATCGTGTCGGTAAGAATAACAGTAGATTAAAAATAAACGTAAGAATGAAAAGAGATTAAAAATAGGTAACACTCTATTCTTTTCTTCTGTTTTTCTTTTTTTCCTTCTTTCAATTCGTTCTCTTTTTCAATGGCTACTGACTTGTCAACTGATGGTGGAGTCGTCGGGGAACTGGTCTTCAAGCTCTTGAACGCTTTCAGCCATTTATGCTTGGTACTTCCGGTCGAGCCATTCGACATCTTCCGGCTGCTCACCCCATCCGGTTGACCGGCTTCTCCAGCACCGAACAGCTCCTTCTGGAAATCGAAGGAAACGTCAGATGAGATATCTGCTCCGTTAGACTGGAAAATGCCTAAGTAGACTCAATTTCCTCTCCTGCTCCCCGCTAATGTGACAAAATTCCCAGACGATCTCTCCTCCTTTCTATAAACGCTTCGAAATTACGACTGTAACGCCATTATCGAATCAACTGATTAAGATAATTCGCCTCCATTGGAAGATCAGCTGTCAGTTATTTTTTGCACTTTAATAAATGGGGGGCTAAAAATTATTTTTTCCTCTTCGAATGGATCCTCTCGGAACAAAGTGTTCCACGGAGTGTAAACTTTGGACCACAGAATTTTCTACCCCCTTAAGCTTATCATCTGAACTTTCTGTGGAATGCAAAATTTTCTTTTCACAGTGTTTTTTCTTTTTCCGAAATTCGAATTTTTCTATTTCACCAATTTTTTAAATTGCAAAATTTTCCACATTTCCCCAATTTCCCAGAATCGAAAACTTTCCATTTCGAAATTTGATATTTTCTTACAATTCCACGATCTTTATTTTTACTTTAAATCTGTAACAACACCGCGTTGAAAAATTAACACTGTAAGCACAATAAACTAATACAGGTTATGGTGTATTATTGGATTTATCTGGGGTATCTCGAGCTGTCTGACAAGTTTCCTTCCCTATAACGTGAAACGTCCAACCAATGGAAATAACCGAGTTTCTGCACGAGTTGTTTGACGTTTCGCGCACGGCCAACTGGTAAATAGATATCCAATGAAAAAGGAAGGCAGAACACTTTTAATGCGAGAGAACAGCTGCTATTAATTGGATTTTACCGAGAACATCCAGCGTGATACAATTTTTCAATTATTTCTTAAACTCGACATTTTCAATTTGCAATAATTAATCGTCAAATAACACGCTACCTATTTGTTCGTTAATTCATTAATTCAGAAATGTGTATTAATCACATGTTCAATTAAAGCAAACGTTAATTAACCTTCTGAAATCCGAGCAATTTTTGTAAAATTTTCTTCATACACATTTGCGAATGTGAATATCATCAAAATAAGAATTTAACAACATTTAGATTTTTATATGTAGGTTAATTGAAAATTTGAAGAGTCAAAAGTGTGAATGAGTGCTACGGCTCGAAGGGTTAAATGTACACCAACGTAATATCAACAATCGTAAAATAATTCTAACAATTTGACTAAAATCATTTTTCTCCATTCATCCTGTTTAATTGTCTAATTAATTTCAACGACCATCGAAACGTTGCTGTAGCTTAGATTGTTATCGATCCCAAACAGACCATTGTATGCCTGTAGACTACATATATACCGTGTGCTGGATATACTGTACGGGCTCCATTCATAAAGACACTAAAGGTGCATCGACCAGCCAACCGAACCCGACGCCGCGGCATTGCTATACAATATATTATTCAATAGACTCCAAGTATATCAATCCGAGAACACCTGGAAGAACCATCGGCCACGAAATCCGTCACACTTTCACTTCGTCCCTATTCCACTCCAATTCAATCCAACGAACAAATTCCGAGAAACCAGCACCAAACGAAAAAAAAGAAGAAAAAAAAAATAGAATTCCCTCTATTGTACATGGAACGAGAGGAAACGACACTCTGCGTCCACGCAGCCTCGTAAAACCACGACACAGGGTGCACAAAGTGGTCCTCGAAGAGTCCATTCTTCCAAGCTAGCAATAGGCACTCCCCAGGACCTCTTTATCCACCGAACAACAAATCGCACTGGACACGTGTCTATCTTCACGTCTGCCACGTGTGCGTGCGTGTGTCATCCAACTATAGATAAAACAACCATCAAACACCTTGTGTCACGTGTCGAGACATCATGCACCAGCTGAGTCGCAGGGGACCCCGTCAGCTGAGACCTAAATTCGCCAATAGAGACACTCGTTCCTCGCTGATTCCTACGGATTCATCATCACTGGCACAAAATCATCCCGTCAGATCCTCACTCAAACAGCACATTGTACATTTGGTCGTCGAGGACCCACGGGTGTAGCACAAAAACCGCATAGCAACCCGACACTGGCTGGCCCAGAGTCAACAACGGAACGGATTCACCAGAGCGAAAGCACTCGGCAGGCGAGGAAACGTTCCGATCCGTTTCTAAGTTCGACAGGTGTGGTCACTGTGACCTGGATTCACGGTAGAAAGTGAAAGGGGACAGGTGTTTCCAGGTCTACGAACGGATACTAACGACTCGTGTGCGCAGCGTTGTCCAGCCCATTTTCACGTAGGTCCAGCTAGACTCCTCCTGCCACCCTGACCTAGGAGAGCGGACTCGAGGCCAGGAATGGATTTTCAGACGGTCGCCGCGACGGGTGACCCAGTTGTGAGGGCGCATGTCGCGCGATTGCCCCTGGCCGCACCAACGCGACGGTCCTGCGTCTGCGGCTTTCATTTCTGACCCTGCTTCGACTAACACTTACGAGGATCAGTGTATGGTGAATAAAGGAAGGGGGGTTGGGGGGATGGAATGATTAGGTTCAACGGCGAACGGTCGTTTTCGGTCTTCGATTGATGGTTCTCGTGGTTCTTGATGTTTCGTGGAGTTTCCGGAGGTTCAATGTTGAAGAAGAATTTGTAGGTGACTGGAGGAGTATTTTGAGAGGATTAGAACGATTTCGATCTCTTGGAAGGCACGATACTCTTTTGCTGTGTTTCTTTACATTCTTGATCGTGGGACTTTTGGAGATTCGGTAATCAGTAATCCTTCTTTGATCCTTTAATTTGCGAAGCTAATTGAAAATTTACAAAAGTAAACGTTTCAACTGCCTTTAAATGTAGAAATGTTAGTTGCTAAACCGAATATCGTAGAATGTCTGTATCATTTCCCTTTTCTAAAGGAATGCAAGCTGCAGTATTACAGTAAACCTAAGAACTACTTCGTGAAGATCATAATGTAACTCTAGCTCCTGTTTACACATGTATGCATAAACCTCCATTGAGGTTTCCTGAATAAAAAAAGAAAAAAAAAATTTGATGTTCTGTGAGTGTTTTCTTATCTGGAGTTGTTGGTTAAAAACGTGGAAGAAAGGCACACAGGAGCCTTAAGGAGTAGTTTCAGTGGGCTAGAAGTATTCTGCTAATTGCATGGTCCTTTTTCTTGTCCTCTGAGAAGGCATAACACCTTTCACTCTTTTGGGTGCTCTCCTAGTCCTGGAATTTCTACTATTTTCGGAGACTCTGAAAAACTTCCGGTTAATTTTAAGGGTTCCAGTTATTACGCTGGTACTGAAGCATCGGTAGAAGTTTCTAAACAAACTGAAATAGTTCTGCTAATTGATAGACACTTTTCGATCCCTTGGTTCAACTCAGCTTCCTGACTTTTTTTTATTTCCGACTGTCTTCGAAGATAATGACTCTTGAAACGATTTAAGAAGGGCCGATAGGTGGTTTCGATTGTCGTGAAAATTGCAACACACCGTTAAATTGTTTAATACGCGTGTCTACACACCATTTTGCTAATTAGCGTACCTTTTCTTACTCCTTTCTTTTGATGCTTTTTGAAGTTTCTGCTCGCCATAAAGGCTGAAGAAGAGCTAGTAGCAGTTCTGAAAAGTATTCCGAGGTAGCTGGGACAATTCTACTAATTAGTAGACTCTCTTTGGTACTCTGAATTACGTGACCTCTTTAGACTTTTGGCTACTTTTTTGCTCTTTCAATTGGAACTATTTCTGAGTAGCCTGGGGGAATCCTACTTGTTATAAAGGCCTTCAAAAAATTGGCAACTTATTTACAGAAGGATTCTAGACCACTTTCTTAATTGCCGTGCTATTTCAAGTCCTCCAATTAACGTAGTTTTATAATCTTTTTGCTCCCATAGATAACACAAGTTTTTTCGCCTGTTTCACTACCTTTTTCATGTTTCTCTTATTAGGCTTCGTTTCCAGGTTCCATAGAAATCCTGATCCTCCATTCAACATCATTTTTTCACCTCTCTACGCTCTATCCGCCCCTCAATTTCTTCGCAATTTTTCAGGGAACTCCCAATTACCAAGAAACTCGATTACATCGTTCCAAGAAAATTCTCCCACAACTCCGCGTTCAAACATTCGAAAATGAAAAAAGAAAAAAGTAGCAGGAATTAAAATACCACTGAAATATTCCGATCCGAACCGTTTTCTCTCCGGTTCCACGAAACTGGAACAATTTTTAAATCCCGGTGATATCGATCAGTCACGTTTTTTTGAATATTTCAGTGGAATGTTTCCAATTGGAAACAGGTTATAAAAATAAAACGAAACATTTTTTTTCTCTCCGATAAAAATGTTATCCCTTAATATCCCTCTCCTTGCCTCTTTCTAGAATCACCAGAATTCTTTGAAATCTTGTATTCCTAGAATCGTCCGAGCTCCCGACAGATCCATTAGATAAAGCAAACTTCTTCGTTTCCACGAAGCAATCGAGGAAGAGGTGGAAGCCTAATGCGAAGGAAATTGCCCGGACGGATCGAAGGAGGCAATTATCGATATCTGGACAGTCTGTTCCATAGACACTCTTGTCTGGTGGCCGCTGACAGGTCCATTAGGACGTGTCTTGTTCAAAATTTTAGCAGGACTTGGCCCCGAGTATCGATCCAAACCGTTGAAAGCGCGCCGATTAAACCAGCTCGCTTCAATCTCTAATCTGTATGCCTACGTGGCCAATTCTAAGGATCTATGGGATCACTGTGGCACCTCTATTGTCGAACAAGCTTGTGAGGAACTATGATCGAACAGTTTGATCGAGCAGTAGCAAATTTTCAAATTCAATTGTTCGTATATCTTACAAGGAATGTGTGTTCTATTTTTTCTTCTTTTTTATTTAATTTTAGGTTAGGTCAGTGGCCATTTTGAACGGGCCTCGTAAATTTGGAACATTTTTCAGATTAATTGATCTCTTTGGACTAATAGAATTTCATTGTTGTTTGTATTGTATATTGTATCGACTTTGTTGCAATTTCTGCATTTATTTGCGAATTTTTTTGTTACGGTGAAAAAGAAATGGTAACAATTTTGAAACTTCTATTCTGTATATCGATGGCGCGTGGATCAGCCTCCATTTTGATATTCAGAGTCTTCAAGGTGGCATCTGAAGGATCAGGATACGTCGCATTCAGGAATTTGGCGGATGTTTGAACGAGGTCAATCGTCCTCGACGAGAATGGTGCATGCGTTTCAAAGTCGTATGCAAATCAATATCATTCAATAGTGAGTCGCGCGTTTAACATGTCTGTCTCCGATTCAACATTGACAGAGAGAGAGAGAGAGAGGAAACCTAGTGAGTCGCGCGTTTAACATGTCTGTCTCCGATTCAACATTGACAGAGAGAGAGAGAGAGAGAGGAAACGAGAGGGAGGATGTGAGGATAAAAAGTGGATCCTCCTCTTTGGTTTCTCACATTCATCCACCTTTATGTTTCCTCTCCATTTCTCCCTTTGTCATTCATTCGTTGCCATTGGCGGATATATTGAATCTCAATGATATTTTTCGACGGTCTTCTTTTCCAACGTCAAACAAACTGGACATACAGAGGTGCACGTGTTTTCTTTGGCCATTGTGAAAGTAAAATGGCAAAAGTGACTTGAATTGGGCGATTCTTTTCTTTATTTTGAAGGTTAGGTTCATCGAAAGGATAGGAAATTTTTGTAAGCTAACCTACAATCTGGATTTATTTCCTTGACTATATACGAATGCTAAACTTCCTAACAATTCTTTTATTTATCTCCTGTAACTTATTATTTCCATAATTTTAGTCTTGTTTTTGTAATTTTTATTAATAAAAAAAAGTGCCTTAAGTTAACCTACAATTTTGTCGAAAATTGCTCAGAGATAAAAAATATTTGGCCCACAGTGTACATATATGCTCGACATAGTTCAGTGAGAGTTTATATTAACATCTTTTCTTTATAATGTGACGTTGTAGTAGACGTCAAGACGAGTTCAATGAGCTATGATACCATGATCTTCGAATAACCTTGAATAGTGAAAAAAAAAAAAGTGAACGTGATCTTGGAATAAACTTCGTTCAAGATGACTATGAGGGGACTTTACTCTTATTATCACTAAATAGATGCAGGTTCTCAAACCATATACACATAACCTCCTTTCAGTAATCTTTTCTTACTCTTAACATCAACGGAAATAATTTAGAAGTTCGTTACAAGCGAGACACCTTGTATATTTGGTGGTAAAAAATCGACAATTTCAAAAATTAGAAAACTTTCACCTACTTTCTGCCTACTTTCGGAGAACACAGTAACTATACAGGGTGTCTCAAATTTGCAGCATAATAATTCAACGAAACACCAAAGTTCAGTTTCCACTTTGACTGTAGTCATTTCTTCTTACTTTCAACAGCAGCGGAAATACATTCAGATGTTCAACTTAAATAAGACACCCGTTGTACACACACGTGTACTACTATCCATGCCTGATTGCATTCGTGAACCTAACCTCCAGGCGATCCTCGCCATTTTGCGCCGGTGGCGCGCCTCGAAACATTTGACCGCGATTCCGTCGCGGTTCGAGTATCGACAGATGCGTGTCAAAGCATTCGAGCTCGCTGAAGCGAGCGTTCCACGAATCACGTACACGTTCCTTATCGTGTTTCGAGCTATTTTCGCCTGGTGGATTTACGTCTTTTTGACTCTCTAGCTGCCTCGTTTCGGACCGTTCTCCCCTCCTGCCTTCCCTTACTTCTCCTCCGCCCCTCCTTAATTCATCCTCTTTCCGCTTGGAGAACGAGTGGCCTGAGAAGCTGGCTGTAAAACAGGAAAATTTCGTCTCGCCTGCCTTCCACTGCTCACATGACGACAAAGGACTTTGTATTTCCCAACCTCTTGGCATAGCTGATTTTTTAATGTCGTCCTCGCTTCTTCCGCCTCGGTGATTCCAGTTGAGTTCAATCTGGGTCTCGTATTAAGTTTGCCTGGCGTTGTGTAATAGCTTCAGAGGGAGGTTACGTCACTCTGATATTAAATTTTTAATATTCGAAAGATTTTAGAGGTATTATTGTTGGATTAGAGGTTAGGTTGCTCGTTTTGGATCTTAGTTTCGTGGATATACATGGGTTTTGAAAGAATTTAAATATTCCCCGAGGAATAGTTTCAACGACCTGAATTTGTTAACCTCAAATATTTTTCCATAACCTCAAAAAGCAGTCTACTATAGTTACTTTGGGTGTTAGAATTTTCTAGGGACTGTGAACTGTTATTTTCACCAATTTAGTAAGTACTGTGTATTCCATATTTGACTTCCAAAAATATTCTGGAAATTCCTGAGAATTTTTCCTTCGCAGAATTGTTCAGAAACTAGGGAAGTTTCTTGAACAATGTTTTCTTCACAACCTTCAAAAAATTCCCCACTATATTTCACTATAATCCTTCTAATCACAGTAATAATAGATCTCTGTTTATCAATCCTCCAGTTCTACCAATTTAAAGTTCTCAAATTTTTTTAGGCAGCAGCAAAGTTTTTCACACAATCCTTCTTTCCTAATGTCAAAAACTCCTTCGCTATACTTCACTGTAATTCAATTAATCACACCTATCTTATATTCGCAAACCGAAAAATATTAATATTTCTATCCTCGTTAATTAAAAATTCTCAAATCCATTCGGTAATTACAAAATTCTTCCCCTACCTCAACAATTCTCTAATTATACCTCTCTCAAATTTCCCTCAGTCCTCACAATCACCGTCTAACCCCCAACTAACCTTCTTGCAAAGTGAATATTATTTTTCCAATACGATGGTTCCTCCACTCGCTCAGAACCAGCAATCTCTCCACAGAATCCAATATGGCGGATGCGTGGAATGGCGCGAATCACTCTAGACGAGGCACAGAACTGTCGTGGCACGTGCAGGTGCATTGTACTTGGCTGTACGCGGGCCCGTGGAAGGGAACAATGGGAGGCTCGTGCTAATTTTAATCGGCTCAGCCACTCAACTCGAGTGAAACGACACGAATACACCGCGACGGGACTCGGTTCTTTTCCTCGACAACCTCGAGATCGACAAGTTCCCTTTGTGCATTTTCCTCGATTGGACAACGAGGACGATACCTCGGTGTCACGGATTGCCCCTTAGTCGTTCTTCCATCCACTCGACTGGCTATTAGGCGGATGGATTGAGGATAATGCTTTTGCTGACGGATGATCGCGATTCCATTGCTCGATGACAAACTGCGAGGAGGGGGAGTATACGGGTTCGGGGAGAAGAAATGGATTTTAAATGGACGATTCGTAGAGAACGTTCTTTCGTGTGATTGCTAGATTTTTATAGATACTTCAATTCAGTTCTTTCTATAGAGATCGATTAGATTGGCTTCTTGCAGGTTACGGTTGTGGGTGTTGAGAATTTTTCAGAGTCCAGGAGAAGAGCAATTTGTATGGTGATTTTGTAAGATTGTGTTTGTATGAAAAAATTTGTGAATGTACTCCAAAGATGGATACGTACGTGCGTAAAATTATGGTGTAACAAAAATTTATAGCTTTTTTTTTTTTTTGAAAAAGAAATTGCTCTCAGCTGTTTGAGTGAACAGCTTTTTAATGAATTATCGCATTTTTGGCCGACACCTGAAATTGCTTCTGAGAAATTGGCACACCTGCACAGATTATTATTGGAATGTCCTTGATGGATTTAATAATGAGTGTTGATTAGTAATTAGCGAGGTTAATAATTGGGAACAGATCTAACTTGTACGTATCATTTTTCTTAACTTTGCTAAAATGTTATGACCAGACGCGAAAAAATTCCCTATAATTAAATTGGTACACTTGTAGAAACATGTTTCACGTCACAATTTAAATACATCAAATTTCCTAGCCTCAGAAAAATTGTACTTTCGTCAAAGAATGCTCTATACCGTAACACGTGCCTAACAGTGTCGCATGATAAATTCCCTACGTAGTTACAGACATTGGTATCGCGTTTTTTCACGCCTGAAAGGATTCCCGAATAAAGTGACGCGTTCATCTAAAGGAAATCGTTGATGCAAACGAATAGTGCGCGAAAATCGGTGATTCTTTTTCCTCTGTGACGTCATCTCTAGGGGATCTGTCACAAATCCAATCTCGAAGTCGTAGAACGACTTCTCTGCTATCACACACACACATACACACAAATCTAGTTCCCTTGTATCGAAGACACGGAAACTTTCACGTCGCGAATGAAAAAAGTTTCTACAATGCTTGTCGCGGTTTTCCAAACAAGAACCAACCATAAAAGTGGCAAGTTTTTAACTAGACTGCACGAAAGAGAACTTTCGATACGCTAGGGACATTACGTTGACGACACTGGCGTGTCACAATTTGCGAGAGGACCTTCGATACTCGCTAATAGCATTCTGTCTACTTTTTCTCCCACGATAGATCTCCTAAGGCGTTCGTTTAAACTCCCCCGGCAAAATAAAGAGAGAAAAAAAGTTACTAGGTATAGTGAAAAAGTAGCAATGCACACCGATCGAAAAACTGCGCAATTTCTTCTTCTAGAATGTGCTAAATCCAAGTGAAATTATCGTTACATCTGAATATCATCGTGCGGGAAGCAAGTAGTATTGCCAAAAGTTGTTCCCCAAAGTCCCTAAATCTCCGCAGTGCAACCAACCGACGAAAAACATATTTTAAGAGAACCAATTAACCGGGCTCGCAATTTTTCACGTTCGAATGCCAGCGATACTCATAAAACGGGGATCTCTTGTTCAAATTTCCAGAGCAAAAGGCAAAGAAATTCAACTTCGAACGTCGGTTTAAAGACAGTTAGAGGTTTTCGCGTCGGTTTTCATCTCGCCCACGACGTTTGCAGGCAAACAATATCCATTGAAATACCTGTGCTTGCACAGCTGCTAGGTAGAGTTGCGCTTCTCCTAGCTCGAAACGTTTCATAGAGATATCTTCCTGTAGCTCGGCCACTTTGGTGTAAAGATTGCTTTCGGCACTCCTGTAATCAAAAAGAAGGGAAACCGTTTAACGATTCCGGTTTCGTGGAATTGAGGTTTGAACCGTCGAGTAGTTCCCCTCCCCTTCTTTCATCGTTCCCTCACAGGAGCTGCCGCGCAGCTCGCCAACCTCTGCGAGTCGCCTTTGTAACGTGTTTACCTTTAATAAATGGAACGAACCAGCGGGAAGGCGAAACGGGGGGTATTTAGAACGAATTCTTTCTTGGCTATTAATTATTTTTGCTCCCGATTCTACGTTTCCATCGGTACTCTACGCCAAAGCATAAAGGAAACCTCGAAATATCGCGAAAAATCGTTCCCTCGTGGATTCTGCGTATTACCACCTCGTTTCGCAATATTCGCACCTTTTAATTGGCGAATAAACGCATCCATTCAAGGTTCCAAGTCAGTGTGATTGTAAAAAGGTCTGGTAAAGACCTAATTTCTCTTTGGAATGGTAATCAGATGGATTAGTTTGCTTTCTTCAAGGTGTGCGTAGTGTCCCTCAGGGGCTGCGATACGGGACTTTTACGACCCCGAGGTACCCGAGTACACGGGTCCGGAGGAGGAGTCATCCACTCTCTTAATTGGGAGCGGAGCATGCCCCAAGTACTTGTGTGAGTCGCCGGGGCCGCAGGCTCAGCCGGGTGGGGGACTCGGCGGGCATTATCCGCGGCCCGCAATGGAGGCGTCGCCGGTGTGGTCCCGACGGCGCCTCGGTGGTAGAGAAGGGGTCCCTTTGACCCCCTCCGGGACGGCGCCCCTCCCTAACCGAACATCTGAGGGAGGGGCCAGGCATGGGGTGGGTCCGGTTGCGTTCGTCACGAGATCGCGGGCCCACCCCACAACGCCGAGGAAAGACCACCGTGGGGGTTTAGCCGGTAAGAGTCCGGCACTACTCCGTCTCCCTCCCCCGGGAGGCGGGGTATCCATGAGGATGTCTCCCACGTAAAAAAAAAGAAAAAAAAAAGGTGTGCGGAGTGTACCAACTCATTTTGTAGCTTTGGCTGTTTTAATATTTAAAAAAAAATGCATCCACTCAAGCAACCAGGTCAGAATGATTACAAAAAGGTTAATTAACACGTTTGCTACCAGCGTCACATGTGTATGACGTACCAATTCCCACGATAGAACGGTACTGTCTACGTGTAATACATCATAAAAAATGCACAGTTTGAGTATTTAAAAAATATTAGGTGTGCATAAGTGCAGGCATCTGTCGTATTACGTAAAACTGAAAGAAATATAGATATCAAGAATGTAAGTGAAAATAATTCGAAGGATAGCGGGCGACAGCGAACGTGTTAAGAACTACTTTTTACGTAGAACGGTACTTATGCTCACTTTCGTTGCATGCGGATCAGAGCATCCAGGGCATCCTGGAGTCTTGTGATCTCTTGAGTGAGATTGTCGTGTTCCCGTCGTAGGTTTTCCATCATTGGTAGGCTACTGGTCCCCACTGGAGCCAGTTCATCCCTCAGAGGCGGTATCTGATTGATCCTTTCAGTGGACACTCTCTCTGGAGGGGCTGGTGCCACGAAGAGTCGCTTTGCGGGCTTCTTCGATAGAGTTGCGGAGGCTCCTAGGGTTCGTGCCAGAATCTGCGCGTAAAATCTTAGTTACGGATAGACTAATCTAACCTTGGACCAGTATTTCTAGCTGTCACGAGGGAATCTTCTGAATAAGAGGCTTTTACAGCCGTATACTAAGTTAATTCTTTTCTTAGTTCACTCTACCACCTGTGTCTAGTGGAATGGTACAGACAGAGTTTGGAAAATAATTAGAACAGATGCTAAGAAGACTCTAGGCTAATTTCTTGGCCATGTTCTAGCTAACGTCGAAGAATTTTATAAATCGAAGTCTTTTATAGCTTAACACTAATTCTAATCCCTCACTGTACCACCTCTACCAAATGCAATAGCTCGTTCAGAGTTCAAAAATTATCGAGAATAGGGATGGATAGTTACATACTAACTCTGCTCCCACCTTAGCTCACATTTCCACTCTCGGGAAGCCTTTAGACCTGTATCTTCAGCCAAAATGAAGAAATCTTACAGACGAGAGACTTCTAGAGACCTACACTAACTTTTTTACTTCCCACCAAGTGCAATATGGCTCGATACACACTAGCGGTCCTCTCCCGGTACGGCCAAGGTCCAATTCGACAGTTCTTCTGAATGAACATACACGTGGCAAGAGTGTGTACCTTACCAAAAAATCGGAAAAAACTTATTTCTACACCTAATACCTCTACGTTTGGCTAAAAATGCGACTGAAAAAAAAAAAGAAAAATAGTTTACAACAGTTTACAATCAAAATTGGAATGGAATAACCGGTGGTGAAATATTATTTCCGAAGATAATTTCTGGGACCAAACCGGACCGTGACCGGATCGTTACCCTTAGTGTGAATGGGTACGTTTTAAAGCACATGTGGGCAACTCGCGGCCCGCGACTTCTTTTAGTTTGGCCCGCGATCCGTCCCCGCGAAGTCTTTAAATTTGGCCCTGTAGGTACTGATTAGTATCGTGTTTCATTTTATAATTTTATTTACTAGCCCTTTTTATTTCATATTTAGCCAAAGTTGTATCAAACACATAATCACATACAACATTACATTGGAGGTATTAATATATTGATACATAAAAACACACGCGAAAACCCATTTAGTTTGGCCCTTGACTCGGAGAGAGAACGATAATTTGGCCATAGAACCAGGAAAGGTTGCCCATGCCTGTTGTAAATCATCGAAGAATATTTGGCCGGACCAGGAGCGGACCGCAAGTGCGTATCGGGCCTACCTCCTGTAGCGAGCTTCCTACGCTCTGCCACCAGAGGGACAGACTAACCACAAGTTCTCGCTAGTCCTCATAAAAGCTCCTATTTGTATATATACAATTTCTGACACGAGTCTTTCCAGTCCCTCCCGCGCCTAAGGCACGAGTCTCCTAGAAAGCCTTACTGACGAGTCCACTAAGAGGCCCAGGACGAAACGCCCTAACCTTCCCTTTTCCGCCTTATCCTCTATCACATTCCTACCTCCCTTCACTCCTAAAGAAGCTTTATAAATCACCGAAAACTTGTGCCAAAAGTACCTGTAAGTCGTTCAGCGGCGCGATGACCTGAGCCTCCTTGACGACAGCCTGGTACCGCTTCGTCTGTTCCCCAGCCCGTTCCGCAGCCGCCTCCGACACCCCTGCGACGCATTTGCAGGCCAATCCGCATAACTCCTCGTACACCTCCGCTATCTCGCTGAGAAGATTAGGCAGGCAGTAGGACTGGTAACGTTCCGTGATGGCATTCGTCGCCCTCAATTGAAGCACGTAAGCGTTGTGCGCCTCGAAGTAAACGCGCTTCAACTCTTGCTCGCTGCCATCGTCGATCGTTAACAGCGCTGCGTAAGCGCGCTTGTAATCAGCTCGAGCGCGCTGCAACTTCTTCTCCGTTTCGGCGACCACCTGCTCGTAGGCCTCGCGGCGTGCAAACACCTGAAAGAAGGGGAGTTCATTCGCTGCTCTTTCATTATTTAGGTTGGTGTCTTTTGGTTTCCGGCGTTTGCCGCAGGGTGTATGAATTCAGACGGTTTGAAAAGTGGGGCTCTGGTTAGATGATAGTTTCGGGAACTTCGATTTCCAGATTTGCCTGGATATAATAGTGTAGTATCGTAATTTTAAGCAAGCGTAGTTTTAAGGAAACGTGGCCAGCATAAGAGAGAAAGCGGGCGACGATAGCCAGGCCCAACGGGAGGCCCACGAAGGACCTGGCTGTAAAGTACGGCATGCGAGGGATGGAAGGACAGTGTGTTTGGAAAAGTCGAGAGGCGTGAATAGAAGAAGCGTGTGTCATAGTCAAGTGTATTATAGTTATTCATATATTTTGTTAATCTATATTTCTAATTCCACAACAGGATTCTATTAGAGGTTCCGGAGCTTTTTGAAATAGGTATGATAGCGATTGGCGTGGATTAGATGCAACGTAGGCTGGCTGTAACTTCCGAAATGTAGATTTCTAGGTTCACTTGGGTACATAGAAGAGACCTTTACCTTTTGGAAGTTGGTCTAAGAGTGGCTGCTTTAGATTAGGTACAAAGCAGGCCGACTGTACAAGTTTTGCACTCCAAATTCATCTTTTTACAAATCACATTCATCCTTTTGTAAATTAAATTGAACCGTTTGCGAATCAAATTCGACCCTTTACAAATCAAGTTTTTCTACAACATTGTTATCTTAAGCTTTTGTAACGAAAATAAAATCAAGTGTAAATTTATCGTTAAGAAATTCAAAATTTTATTGTATGTAATATAAAGGTGTAATACTCTTAAATACTTGTTTAATAGTAATTACCAATTCAATGCATGTTTGATTCACCGCAAAGACTGAATTTTGAACATATTTGTACAATTCTAGTTCAGACGACAAAGCAACACCTACCGAATATACCTGACAAATTTCGAGTGGATCGGACTTCTGATTTTTTGGTAATCATGTCAGCCACTTTGAAAAATGCTGTTTCGAGAAAAACGCGTTTAAAGTTTTAACTACAGTATAAGACTACATAAAACCGCTTCCTTTGAAGGCACATATCTCTGCCAATTTTCATAATTAAGCTTTGAAACTTCATAGACACTTTTTCGAGATGTTAAACTATAAGAAAATGCAAAAGGTGTCTTTTTTTTTTTAAATCAAACCTCGTGTATATGTACCTACTCGTCATACTGCGGGATTCCGGACTGAATAATCATTTTTAGGATTTACTTCACGTTCAGTAAGTGCCGCGATACTTACGAATGACTATTCAGACCACACTTCTTTCCAATTACTTTCAAACTAACATGTTTAGCTCACTTGCAAAGTACTCGATTTCTACGTCCATCAAGAGTGACCTTTGCCGTATCCCCTCATCACCCCAGAGTCACTTCAACAGTGACATGTCCAACCCAGTCGAAAAACTAGGTTAACCACAACGATTCATCAGAAAAAACCTCAACTTCTAAACTACAAACTAGCTTCACCCGTCGAATATGACATTCTTTTATTTAATACGTCAAAAAAATTTCGATTTCTGCATTCACAGTGAAGTTTATCAGCAGGTCTGATCTCCTCTTAAAAACACTACGTCAATACCGTCTCTGATGCCTGTCGACGATACAGGGAATCCTAGTAGGGATGAAACAGCCTCATTCAACCAGCAAACACTGGCCACGTGAACGCAATTTTGTCCTTGAGAAGATTACCAATCTATCCTATTTCATCTAACCCAAATTACCTAGCACATCTATACGT